GTTCAAAGCAGCACATATTTTTTTCAGTGAATAAAATTAATGCAGACATGGTTGACCTTGACGTGCGAAAACCATGTTGGCTATTGGAGTTTTTGTTGAAGTTTTATTGAAGTAGTTGATTAAATAATGTTTTTTCAAGTAACTTAGAAAAAATAGTTTGAACAGAAATTGGCCGATAGTTTGAAACTTCTGTTGGACTGTTGTAGGACTATTAGCTGGACAACAAGATTCACCAGTACTCTAACCTGCTCAAGGATTGTTTCATCTGTAGTAGCAAAGACCAAGTTGGAGGGATTTACAGATTTTATTTTTTTTACAATGAAACCAGAGGACTTTTGTTTTCTTAGCTTTCAAAGATAATTTTATATTTGCAGAAGCATTTTTAACATCCACAAAGATTCATTTTAGAGACTGAAAGAGGATGGGTAAAAAGCATACAAAATTGTCATCAGCATATAAATGTACAGCAGCTTTATTTTAAAAAAATGTGCATAATCTTTCCTAAAAGCTTGTGGAATATCATTAATGTTAATAAAAAACAGAGTGGGACCAAAGATAGACCTCTGTGGCACACCTTTGGATACACAAAGAAACAGAATATTCAGATCTAAATGCACCAGTTGCACTCTGTCGGACAAGTTTGGTCAACAAGAACATGTAAAAATCAAATCATCCTTTATATCTTGCCCTTCAGGGAACATTAATCATCCAGAACCTGACCTCAGTGCTGAATGAAGAGGGTCAGTGGAAGTTCCCTCACAAGTTCAATCCTGAGAACTTCCTGAATGAGCAGGGACAGTTTGTCAAACCAGAGGCCTTCATGCCTTTCTCTGCAGGTAAACCTGTGAAACACTTTACATTCAGACTTGTACTACAGGTAAAGAGTTTATTAGATCAAACAGACAAGAACTTTGGTTCTTTTTCTGGTGTCTCAGGTCCTCGGATGTGTCTGGGAGAGGGTCTGGCTCGTATGGAGCTGTTCCTCATGACGGTGACCCTGCTGAGGAAGTTTAAGTTCGTCTGGCCGGAGGATGCAGGAGAACCAGTCTTCTCTCTGGTTTTTGGGGCAACGTTGTCTCCAAAATCTTACAAGATGAAGGTCCAGCTGAGGTCTGAACAGTGAGGAGGTGCAGACGCTCTGCAGAAACTGATGAAAGAACTGATCACTTAAATAATAATCTGGTCATTGTCAAATCTTTTGGACACAATTGTATCCTTGGTGGATTTCAATTGTTAACTTAGAAGCTTGAAATCTAAACTTTTTCCAAATATATTTCAACTCCAAAGATCCTCTGACTGTGTCGCATATTTTTCTCCTGATCATCTCACCAATGTCCTCACTGATCTCACTGAGGCTGAGAAAGTTGCACAGAGATTTGCTTTATGTGTGAAATCTAAACTGTGAGAGAGCAAAGAGATAGGTTCTCACTCGTTTAAATTTTAACATTTTTACAGCGCTTTATGTCAGAGATTTAACAAGTTAAAAACACTCATTAATCCTGACCGGAACCGCAGTGTCAGAGAAATTTCTCATGGAGAAGACGAGAACAAAAAGTGGTATAAAAGAAAACCATCTGTTAAACTGTAAGAAAATTTAGTGTTCTTTAACTGAAATCATGACAAAACCACATGAATGTTGAATAGATTAAAATGTGAAGAGAAGAGAACAATACAACACCAGTGACTGGAGTGAATGGTGGTTTAATGCTCTCTGTGCGACATAAAAATAGTCAAATAATAGATTATAAGAATCAATATTTAAAAAGGAAAACTATGAATATGGTGTGGTGCTTTCAAAATCAGTTTCTGAATGTCTAATAAATATCTTCAGTACAGTAAAAAAAAAACACTGTCTGAAAGAAGATGGAAAGGTTTACGTTTTAATAAATATATATAATTTGTATGTGTATCAGGCTCTGCTGGGTGGACTACATTAAAGTTAATAGAATAAGATATAAAGTAAAGGGATCCTTTTTGAGTTGGATAACAATATGTACATACAGTACAACATTAACATTATGGGATACTTAAAGATCTTATACATTTGTTATAAGAGGCCCCGGCAAAATAAGGTAAGACTGGTTATCAGAAAGCTGTTGAGGATCCGCCCCCTTATTACTCAGCAATATCTCACTTCCTGATTTTTTATCAATCATTTGTGTGTTTGATGTGCTCACTCCATTTAATAAGAAAATGTCAAAGTTCGGAGCCAGAGCCACCAGAGTTGAGTCCAGTCCAGCACCATGTTTGTCTCCATAGTTCTGCTGTGGTTCTGTTTCTGCTTCATCCTCTTTCAACTTAAAGCTCGGAGACCCAAGAACTTCCCACCAGGACCCCCCATCCTGCCGGTACTGGGGAACTTCTTGTACCTGGCCTCAAAGAACCCCCTGAAGGAACTTGAAAAGGTAAAGATATCAAATTATAGAATTTATTTTTTTGTTTTTCTTCAATATATAATTTTCAAAAAAAATGGCATGATTTTATCATTTTAATAAATTCAAATGTTGACAGAACTGAGGACAGTTAATTTTTATTCTGGATTACAGGTGAACTTTATCTACCTTTAATGAGTCATCAGAAAATAGATGTGTTTTTTAATGTTTATATTTTGCAGAGTTTTAAGGCACCAATTTCTCTGCAGCAGCACTAAGAGAAGTATACAGTGTGGTGCAATTAAATTTCATCTATGAACTAATAATGTTTGTTAGAAAATTTTAATTGTAAAGTTTTTTATGGTAGCTGCACAAAAGTGCACTGAAATCAGAACATTTGGTTTTATTTGGACTGATAATGCTTTGATTTTATGTTGACTTAAAAAATGGACTGTCCCTCAGTTTTAATATTTCGAATCTGTTTGCAGTGAAAATAATAAAAAGTAACTGTAAATATGCAGAATATTAAAATTTAATTAATTGAAAAATAAAATCATCCCTCATTTTTATCAAATGTGCCTTACAAGTATTTTGGTCATGAGTTGTTTGTGTTGTCTGAAGGTCATTTATGGTTTTTGTTTGAACTTTGGCTGGTTTTGGAATCACACTCAGAAAATCATTGTACAAAGAGTCCGCAGTCATTTAATCTTTAACCCTAAATGTGATGCAATTTGGTGAATAAGTTGGACTAGGAAAAGGAAATAATTAACTCTGCTGTTTAATTTCCCTCAGAACAGATCAGAATAAAATACATTTCTTTAGCAATGGATATATTTTTGTTTTTGTTTGGTTTTCTTGCAGCTCAGACAGACCTATGGAAATGTCTACAGTCTGTTCCTTGGTACCAGACCAGCTGTGGTCATCAATGGGTTGAAGGCCATGAAGGAGGCCATGTTGGTTAAAGCTGCAGACTACGCTGGTCGACCTCAAGACACGTTAGCTGGTGATGTATTTCAGGGTAAAGGTACGGAATGTTACAAAACTGCATGCAAGATCAGTTTAGATGCAAAAACAGTCAACCACAAGTTTGACAAAATTTGGACATTATTTAAACATAATTATTCACACTGAAACATAGTACACATAAAATATTAAAACCAAGAAATTGTACATTTTTTTAATGTAAAGGTAGTTTTAAGTTTCATGATAGGTCATTTAAAATTTTTCAGAAGTTCATTGCCTTGAAATTTTAAGTTGCAATTAAAGTTTCTATGTGGGCAAACCACTGTAGGGTCACCATGGATCCTGCAAAAAAACTCATTTGGATATAACCTCCGTCACTTGCCTTTATTTATCCTATATGGGGCCCCATACATGTGCTGGCTGGGAATACATCTCAACAAAATTGTATCAGAAGCATCAAAAGGCTGTAAAAGTATGAAGAATTATTAAGAAACACCTGTAAGAGGATTGTGTAAGTAATTAAATTAATTAGCTGCAGCAGRTTAAAGCTCTTAGTTTTGTTGCTTTGCCTGTTTAGGAGTGATTCTGGCCGATTACGGGCCTGTTTGGAGGGAACATCGTCGTTTCTCTCTGATGACTCTGAGAAACTTCGGTCTGGGGAAGAAATCCATGGAGGAGAGAATTCATGAAGAGATTCAGTTGACCGTTAAAACACTTGAAAAAAGCGTTGGTACGTAATCAGTCTTAAAATATTTAAAGGGATCCATGATTAGTTGTAACATTAGACTTCATTTGATAAACATATATTTTAACTGTCAAATAAAGACTTTAAAAATACTGTAGGCTGTTGAGTTTTTACAATTTTTAAACTAAACCTTTAAAAAATATATCACATGGGCTTCCGGTTTTGTTACTGATGGAGTAAGACGTGTTGGAAGGAGCTCCTGCAGACTGTTTTTTCTATAAGGTGCATTTGGACTTTTTCATGTACTTTGCCTGTCCTTTAAATTTTATAACGAGTCTACTACAGCTCAGGATGCCTCCAAAGCCCAAAAATACGAATAATTCGACAACTACAGCGATGAGGCCTGGTCCCCAACCTGCATCCCCACGTCAGCCTGCTGAGACCGATCTACCACGGGGCTCAGCTAGTGGGCGACCGCCTTTAGAAGAAACTTCTACATCTCGGAACGTATATTCCCCGGACTTTAAGGTTGAACTCCTCAATGCACTTCGAGAAGAGATGGTAGGCATTTTCAAGACTGAATTGGAGACGGCGTTGACCAACAATCTGACCCAGATTAAGTCGGAGCTGCAAGGCATGATGACCGAGCTAAGTGCTAGCATTGCGGCTATCAGGTCGGAGGTGGATGCATTAAGGGTGACTGTTGGAGACATGGAGGGACCGTTGTCTTCATGCACTGATGATGTGGTCGCACTCAAGAGCAATTTGGAAAAGCTTTCGGCTCAGGTCCTCGCTCTTGACAGTAAATGTGAAGACTTGGAGTCAAGATCTCGGTGTAATAACATTAGAATCATAGGACTGCCGGAGGAGAGTAACCCAGTCAGCGCGGACACAATTTCCACCCTGCTTAAAGACGCCTTCGGCCTCGAGAAGGGGCCGGTTGTGGACCGGACGCACCGATCTCTACAGGCCAGGCCGAAACCCGGTGAGTGGCCCGTCCCATAATGGCCCGTTTACATTAATACTCGGACTGCACCGACATTTTACGATGTGCCAGAGCCCAGCAGCGGGTGAAAGTGGGGGATTCCACGATCTCTATCTTCCCTGATTTTACCACTTGGACCGCGAGAGCCCTTGCAGCCTTCAATGACATCAGACGTCAGCTTAGAGAGGTTCCGGACGTACGGTTCGGGCTGCTGCATCCAGCTCGTCTCTGCATCACTAGAGGAGGTGTCACGAGAGAGTTTACTTCACCTGTGGAGGCGACTGCCTTCGTGAAGACACTCAAGATAAAATAAAACTGGCCTCACCACCATAAAGCTTAATTCTGGTTCTTTTGTAAGTATAGCTGCAGCCCAATTTCTCTTTACTCTGAAATGACTTTTGGCAGAAATGGCTGCAATGCACGTTTGAATTAATTCGTTCTTGCATAGTTTAATTTGTTGTGAGTGGAGAGCGGGGGGCCGCTCATATTGCTCGGTTCAGGCCGGCCGGAGGCATAAGAGGGTTAGGCGACATGTAATGTATATGTTCTTGTGTTAACAGATTTGAAGGAGTTCCAACTGAGTTGGGGTGAATTGAGGATGACTGTTGGGTAGCCTCCCTCCGCCTAAGGGTGGGGGGACGGGTTCTGACTGTTGTCTGTGCTTACGGGCCGAACAACAGTTCAGATTACCCACCCTTTTTGGAGTCCTTGGAGGGGGTACTGGAGGGTGCCCCTCCTGGGGACTCCCTTGTTCTGCTGGGGGACTTCAACGCTCACGTGGGCAATGACAGTGAGACCTGGAAGGGCGTGGTTGGGAGGAACGGCCCCACCTATCTGAACTCGAGTGGTGTTCTGTTGTTGGACTTCTGTGCTCGTCACGGATTGTCCATCACGAACACCATGTTCAGGCATAAGGGTGTCCATATGTGCACTTGGCACCAGGACACCCTAGGCCGCAGTTCGATGATCGATTTTGTCATCGTTTCTGCGGCCGTATGTCTTGGACACTCGGGTGAAGAGAGGGGCGTAGCTGTCAACTGACCACTACCTGGTGGTGAGTTGGCTCCGGTGGTGGGGGAGGAAGCCGGTCAGACCTGGCAGGCCCAAACGTGTAGTGAGGGTCTGCTGGGAAYRTYYGGCGGAGTCCCCTGTGAGACGGAGCTTCAACTCCCATCTCCGGCAGAACTTCGAACACGTTCTGGGGGAGGCGGGGGATTGAGTCTGAATGGACCATGTTCCGTGCCTCCATTGGCGAGGCGGCTTATCGGAGCTGCGGCCGCAAGGTTGTTGGTGCCTGTCGCGGCGGCAACCCTCGAACCCGTTGGTGGACACCTTCGGTGAGGGATGCTGTCAAGCTGAAGAAGGAGTCCTGTCGGGTCTTTCTGGCTTACGGGACTCCAGAAGCAGCTGATGGGTAATGGGCGAAGCGGCATGCGGCTCGGGTGGTCGCTGAGGCAAAAACCCGGGYGTGGGAGGAGTTTGGAGAGGCCATGGAGAAAGACTTCCGCACGGCTTCGAGGCGATTCTGGTCCACCATCCGGCGTCTCAGGAGGGGGAAGCAGTGCATCACCAACACTGTTTATGGTGGGGATATGGTGTGCTGCTGACCTCAACTCGTGACGTTGTGTGCCGGTGGGCGGAATACTTTGAAGACCTCCTCAATCCCACCAACATGCCTTCTGTTGAGGAAGCTGAGCCTGGGGACTTTGGGTTTGGGACTTTGGGGACTAAACGGGTCAGGGACCTCCACACTCTGTCAGTGAACCCCTCCTGTATCCAGTTTTCTACTAATGACTCTAAAG